TATTTTATTTCTAAACAATAACTTATGAATTTCTTTTAATTTACAAATCTTAAATTTTTACTTACTATTTTGCAGATATTTTCTTCCTCTAAAATAGTTAAAACAAAATAAGGAAAGTTTTATAAGGAAAATTATCAATATTTTAATATTATACTGATAAAATCTTATACACGTGAGTCCCTTTTATTTAATCTTGTGACTTGTGGTTATATATTTTCATTAACGGCTAACTGAATGTCGGCATTAAATTTACTTCTATAATGTGAGTAGCATAAAGCAGCTAAGTAGCACATTTTTAGTCCTTGAATTTACAGTTTAATAACAGGTAATAACCATTAAAACGCTAATGCACTCAACATAAGGAGAGTTTATAGTAAAAGTTTTCCATATTTAATAAAGTTAAGGTTCGTAATTAAAATCTATTTTAGTGCATTTTCAGTTCCATTTAAATATTTTACGTAGTTTTAATGCAATATCTTATTATTCTTTGTGCAAAGTTGTAATTAATATTTTATTGTGTCGCATGCATTTTATTAGAAATGAAATTTATCTCGACCTATTGAAAATACAGACGTACTAAATTTATTATTTTTTAATATTTATATATTTATGCTTACTTTTAATGAAATGCTCTTTTATTATTTGTCTTATGTTGTAATGAATAATTCATTACGTTATAGTTATTTGATCGGATACATAATTTAGTATTTTGTAATCTAGAGTCTCTGAAGTTAATGTCTTTTTAGTATTTATGAAGAACACCTTTTTGCTTTAACATTCGATGCAATATTGCATTGAGTCAAATTTCCATGATTGGAAAAAAATTTCAGCAAACATATTGAAAGAAAAGTATTATTGTAAGCAATAATATTTTAATAAAACATATTTATTTTTAATAGCCAATGTTTTAATAATTAGCATTTTATTAATTGTAATAATTAGAATTTTTAAATTTAACATTTCAATAATTAGCATTTTAATAGTTACTATATATTAATAGTCAATACTTTTTCAAAAATTATTTTTCTAGTCTTGAAAATATTTAATAAATACTTTTGGTGGACTTTCATTGCAAAACATTAAAAAGTTGAGATTTTTCAGTTCGTTTTTAAAAACTATTTTAACATCAATAATTGAAAATATCTTTTTATATATTGAAAATGGTTTACCCTTAAAATTTAGATTTTCATTGTTTGCAAATTCAAAATTCTGTAAATATGCTTAATAAATAACTCTGTTCTCAGTTTACATTTTATTTGACATCTAGAAGAAATTCGTTATTTTAATTTTTAAATTTTGTATTTTAAAAATTTAAAGATTGAATCAAAATGGAACCTATAAAATTACAGTATAAAATAATAGCATGATTTTGAATAGTAATGTAGAATACATAAACCTTTAACTTCAGAATTTCATTTCTTTTCTTTATTCAATTTTTAAATATCTATCGTTTCTATTACAAAAACTTACACTAATGTTTGAGTTTGATGACTACAAAAGTGATTGTTAGCAAATGAAATGAGACTATCACCTTTGGAAACCGGGTCTTTGCTATTATCCTTTTCAAGCTCTTTCCTACAGTTTATAATGCACAATATGAGAGGATTTGTCAACAAGCTGCTTTAAATTGGATTCAATACAGATTTGCGTGAGTTCGATTTGCTTTTAGTAAAATTACAGACTTTTCAATTTACACTCTTCTGGAGAAATTTTCGTTGAGCAAGAAATTTTTTTTTTGCCCCTATAAAACTTTATTCGAAGTGGTTAAGAAAAATTAAATTTTATGAATAATTTTTTTTGTAGGAAACTATATTACTAAATTTTCTGACAAGCCTAACAGTTTGTTATCGTTTGTTATTTAAATTCTTCAAAGCATTGAGTTCTTCAAATCGAACACAGAGTTTTAAATTCTTAAATTCGTCTGCAAATTCAAAAGTTTGCAAGTATGCTTAAAACAAAAAAGACAAAAATAATTATTTAAATGTCCAATTCATATTTTGTTTGGAAACATTTCTAGCGAAACCCATTTAGTATAATTTGTAGCTTATATGTTTAAAAACGAAATTAAACCAAAATATAAAGATTAAATAAAAATTGCACTGATATAACTGCAGTTTAAAAAACAAGTAACATGATTTTAAATGGAAATGCAGAATATAGAAATTATAACTTTGGAATTTATTTTTTTTTTCCTTTTTGATCCATGTTAAAATATCTATACTTTTATTTTACAAAGCATTAAGATTTGTTTGAAGCTTGTTGATTACAGAAATGATTGAATGTGACGTTCTCCTTTAGCGAGCAGTCGTTGTTAATATCCGTATCAAGTTCTTTTCTAGAGTTTAATGCGCAATATGTAAAGACTTTTCGAAGTTTGGTTTAAGATTAGATTCAATACAGATGTACGTGAGTTCGATTTACTATAAGAAAAACTATAGGCAGTTTAATTTTCCCTCTTCGTGAGTAATTTTCATTTAACAAACAAAAAATTCTTTTTACTTCTAGAAATTTTATTCGAAGTGGCTCAAAAAAAATTAAATTTTAATTATATTGCTTTTTGTAGGAAGTTAAAGTATACATTTTCTGGCAAACCTAACAGTTAGTTTGTTATCGTCTGCAAAGTCTTTAATTCTTCAAATCGTCTTCAAAGCTTGAATTCTTCAAATCGTCTGAAAAAGAGACAAAAATAATTATTTTACTGACTAGTTAAATTTTTGCTTGGAAGGCTTTCCAGCATAATCTTTTTAACTAAATTTGTAGCTTGCATGTTTTAAAACAAAACTATACCTAAATATAAAGACTAAATAAAAATTGTCCCGATCGAACTACAGTATAAAAACAAATAACATGATTTTAAATTCCAATGAAGAATATATAAACCTTAACTTTGAAATTTATTTTTTTCTTTCTCTATTGATCCATTTTTAAATATCTATCCTTTCATTTAACAAAGCACTTAAGATATGTTTGAAGTTTGTTGAATACAAAAACGATTGAAAGCAAATGAAATGTGACGTTCGCCTTTAGCGAGCAGTCGTTGTTAATATCCTTATCAAGTTCTTTTCTAGAGTTTAATGCACAATATGCAGAGACTTTTCAAAGTCTTGCTTAAGATTAGATTCAATACAGATTTTCATGAGCTTGCTTTTCTTTTAGCAGAATCATAGTCGATTTCATTCCTTCCCTTCGGGAACAATTTTCGTCAAACAAGAAGAAATTTCCGCTTTACTTCTAGAACTTTTATTCGAAATGGATAAAACAAATTTCATTAAGTTTTAATTATAACATTGCTTTTACTTGGAGGAATTATTTGAAATCTTTTTCTTGGAAAAATCTATAAAATCTTTTTTGGATGTGAAAATACCCTTTTTTTACCGTTTGGGGAAAAATTTTTCCGTAAAAACAGAAATTTATTTGAATAGACGGTTATTAAATATTCACAGTTGACCTACCTTCATGTTAAAGTCTTTTAATGTTTTATGAAACGGAAACCGTTTTAAATGGAAGAAATAAAAGATTCAATTACTTGATTTACATTTCAAATATAATTCTTTAGTTTCTCATCGTTTTAATTTATTTTAATACATTTAAAGCAAAATATTTATATATCTTATAAGAAACAATTTATTTTTAATTTTTATTACAATTATACTATAAATTAACCTTTATATAATAACATTTGTTATAATAACCTTTTCATATAAAATATCCAAAATATTATTTTATTCATAACTTTTTTAAATAATTTATTAAGTATTTAAAAAAATGAATTTTGTTTTATTTTCTAGTTTACTTCATTCTCAATATTCTATTTTATATTTATTAAATTATTTATATTTATTAAATTATTTATATTTATTTTAGCTAGTCTTTTACTTATGATGTCTTAATCAAAGATAAAAGCTGATTTATTTATTTATTTATTATTATTATTTGATTTTCTGATTAGCACCAGTGCAAATAATTCTGCAATGTTTACTTTCGTTGATTTTACTCGCACTAAATATTGTTAATTTTTCAGAGATAAGTTGGATTTGAACAACTTTTAGAAACAAAAAAATAGTTTTTATTCCAAAATATGTTTTTTTTCCACATATTATAATGACTGAAAGTAACAAAAGCCTTTAATGTTTTCGTAAATTTCTAATTAATTAATATTTTATGTTGCATTATTTTTTTTATATGTATTTAGTCTCGAATCATAAATTAAAAATATGCATTTTTTCTTGTACTTTGGGCAGAATTATATCCAAATATTTTCATTTTATGTAAATAAAATTAATTATTTTAACTAAGGATCTTGTTAATAATATTCGAGTAAACTAAAATCGAGATATTCCTTATGTCTTCCAAAACACTTTCGTGTTGATTGATAATTATCCTTAAATGCCATGTGGTTAGCAATAATATGTTATATAGTATAATATATATATTTTTTAATTTAATTTTAACAATTGGTGTGCAATTGTAGCTTTTGTCTTAATTTCAACAATACTTGTATTGTTGAAATTTTATTGTTGAATCTTGCATCATCGTATTATTGTATCTTGTGACGAGTTGATATTTTTATAAGTTTATACAAATTGTGAAATAACTGGAAGAGGTAATGTAATGAATGGAAGTGCAAAGCACTTCGATTTATCTATTCTACTATTAATCTATGTATTCTACTTTCGTTATTCCATTTAATCTCCCACAACGCACTACAATGAGGTTTCAAGTTAAGAAAATATCTTCCTCTCATATTTGAGAGCTATTTGTCAAAAATCGCGTGATTTCATGACATAATGATTCTCAAAATTAACGGAATACAGTTCAAGGATTGCTGAATAGTCAAAAGTGAGAGTTTCACTTCTGAAATTTGTAGATTTGTTGTAAAAAATAATAAGCACGAATAACAGTTTCATTTCTTATGTTCTTAAAGTCAAATGAAAATTTCTGTATAAATGTGTTCATGTTTGGCGATGATATTAAAAGTTTTTTTTTTCTCCTCTTTCTAGAAGTGTTTCAAACAGATGGATATCTGATACCCAGCACGAAATGCAACTACGAGATATCTCCGGAACAGGTGAATAAGACCCGAGGGAAATTTTATTCACCTCAATATCCAAGTAATTATCCTAGAGATATCACGTGCCACTATAGATTCACTGCAACACCAAATAATAGAGTAAAAATTGTTTTTGAACAAATTAGGCTCCAGAAAGGAGATCTAAGGTAAGATTGACGTTTCATTATTGTGTACTATTCACTACGTATTTGTGTACTATTCACTACGTATCTCCGACTTATCTACTGTTATCAAGCAAAATAACAAATAAATTGCTACGAATGCTACGAATAAATTGCATACAAATATCATAATTCATAGAATACTTTATTTTTTTTCTATCAATTATATTTTTGAAAGTTGAAACATATATTTTTTTCTGTACTAACATCACGGGTGTTGTAGAATTAGTGATGAACAGAAATATTTTATATATTTTAGAAGATGTTATTTGTCTCTGCCCTCCAATTTTTATTTCTCCTTTGCTCAAAAAATTATTGGAAATCACGCAAAAGTATAAATTGATTTACTTTTAATCAATAGCTAAGATCTATAAAATAAATGGAAAATAATTGGAATACCATGAAAGAAGGCTCTACCAATATGAAAGTTGTCAATAATTTAGTTTGAGAAAATCATAATCATCAACTATCTTTGTTTTTTTTAGTTAATATAAAATGATTAAAGCTGATAATAGTTAAAGCTAAGAACAAATTAGAAGCCTTTTAGAAATGATTTTTCAGTAAAATAAGAAAGCAAATACACTTACAATTTGTATTTTTTAATCTTTTTCAAAAATATTTAAAAATGATGCCAAATATTTAAAATTATTGTATGACTATTAATTAGACTTTTAGGTAATATAGCAGGTTTTAATTATATAAGTTACATAAACTTGTAAGATGCCACTTTTTAAAATTAGATTTCAGATGCTTAGCATAAAAGGAATGAGATATCGTTTTTTATGAAGCAGCTAAAATTCTGATTAATAAGAATGGCTATTAAAATCATGACAATGATATGAAAAGCGCAAATGTTTTAAAAATGAAAGCCATTTAGAATATTTATTTTTTCTTTAAGTGTATTACGTTATAGTGATTTCCACGAATTACTAAACTATTATAAATTACTCCAGATAAAATAATTCAGTAAAATATATTAACTATAGTCAAACTGTAGTAAACTAGTTAACTGTAGTAAACTAGCAATTCTCATTCCAAAAAAATGCTTACACTAAAAACTCTAATCTTAGAGAGAATGTCCTCAATTTTTTTATGTAACTTTGTACTCTATACTTTATAGGAAAACTATTTTTTACTTTGAAGGAAATTTAGAATAAACGTAAAGTGAGATTATTTCCAAAAGCAGTTACTTAATCTCCAATGCTTGAATAAAAGTTGCTTTTTTCACACCTCTCAAATTTCTGAAAATGAATTAAGGCTGATTTCAAGCAAAAACAAAGGCGATTGTTTACATGTTCAGAACTTGAATTAAAGTAATAAGCATGATATAATATTTTAGAGCTTATTTTTGTATTTATAGTCAGTAATTAATTTAGTAAAAATCAGTCTCTACTTACTCTCTAAATCTTGAATGCCTGGCTAGAAGATATGATTTAATTCTCCATTAAATTTCTGTAATTCATATAAGCTGTTTTTAAAACCCAAAACCTTAAATAAATTTTATTTTTTATTATCGAACTGAAATAATAATCACAAAATCTTTGGTTTAGTTTTTATCAATTTAGTGACTCAACTTTTAATGGTTGGATAAAGTGTATTTGTGTTTCACCCCAAATATTCTTCCAGAAAATGAACTGAATTACTTTTGAAAGCAAAAACTTAAGATGTCTATTTACTTTATGGCTGAACTAAAGTAATAAACATTATTTTTTTAAGTGCTAATTGTTAGCAAAAACCAGCTATTATATAAATCATTTCCAATTAGTTCTTGTTAGTTTAAACACTTACTCTCGATTGTTTGGATAAAACAAATGTTTTCTTTCTTTACTATTATTTCTGAAAATGAATTTCAACTGTTTAGGACTAAACGTCCCAAATACTAATGTTTTGTAATAGTTTTAATTTTTAGGAACAAAATTATTATGGTTCTTATTACATTAGTAATCACAAATTTTATTATTTCTTGCTATTACGCAAATAATTGTCAGTGTTTAACATTTTAGACACACATTTTCGAATACCTCCAAAAATCAATTTGTCTACCATTCTAATTAAAAGCTTAGCAAAGTTAGTTGGTCTTTTTATCAGATCTAAATATTCTAAATAATAAATTAACTAATCTAAATAATAAATAGAGAAAGTATATTTTTTGTGTAGATAAATTTAGTCACTAAATCTCGAATACCTCCGAAAATTAATTAATTAATTTTTGTAACCTAGCTCTTAACGGAGTTGATGTGATTTTTTAAAATGAACTAAAGTAGCAACTACTGAAGTATTTATAACGGTGATTATTTTAATCACTAAATCTCGAGTACTTCCTAAATCAATTTGTTTACGTTTGTAACTAAGAGCTTAACGAAATTATGCTTCAACGAAGTATTTTTTTTTTAAACTAAAAGTAAAAATCCCTAAAGTATTTTTTTTAGTTCAGATTTTTTTAGTTATTCAATATCGAATACCTCTGAAAATCAATTTAATTATTTCTGTAATCAAAAGCTTATCGAAGCTAATACGTGATTTTTATTGAACTAACAGTAATCATCAAATCTCGAATACCTCCGGAAATCATTTGATTTACTTTTGTAACTAAAAGTTAAATAATTTCTTTCTTTTTTTTCACGGAACTGAAGCAATAACCGCTAAATTATTTTAGTGCAGATCGTTTTAGTTACTCCCTCTCGAATATCTTCAAGAAACAATTGATTTATTTTTGTAACTAAAAGCTTTATAATTTCTTTTTTTTCTTCATGGAACTGAAGTAATAACCGCTAAATTATTTTAGTGTAGGTCGTTTTAATTACTCTATCTCGAATATTCCCAAGAAACAATTGATTTATTTTTGTAACTAAAAGCTTAATAATTTCTTTTTTTTTCATGGAACTGAAGTAATAACCGCTAAATTATTTTAGTGTAGATCGTTTTAGTTACTCCATTTCGAATATCTCCAAGAAATAATTGATTTATTTTTGAAACTAAAAAAAAGCTTAATAATTTCTTTTTTTTTCACGGAACTGAAGTAATAACCGCTAAATTATTTTAGAGTAGATCGTTTCAGTTACTCCATCTCGAACATCTCCAAGAAACAATTGCTTTATTTTTGTGACTAAAAGCTTAATAATTTCTTTTTTTTCTTCACGGAACTGAAGTAATAACCGCTAAATTATTTTAGTGTAGATCGTTTTAGTTACTCCATTTCAAATATCTCTAAGAAACAATTGATTTATTTTTGTAACTAAAAGCTTAACAATTTCTTTTTTTCTTCTTCACGGAACTGAAGTAATAACCGCTAAATTATTTTAGGGTAGAGCGTTTTAGTTACTCCATCTCGAATATATCCAAGAAACAATTGATTTATTTTTGTGACTAAAAGCTTAATAATTTCTTTTTTTTTTTCACGGAACTGAAGTAATAACCGTTAAATTATTTTAGTGTAGATCGTTTTAGTTACTCCATCTCGAATATCTCCAAGAAACAATTGATTTATTTTTGTAACTAAAAGCTTAATAATTTCTTTTTTTTTTCACTGAACTGAAGTAATAACCGCTAAATTATTTTAGTGTAGATCGTTTTAGTTACTCCATCTCGAATATCTCCAAGAAACAATTCATTTATTTTTGTAACTAAAAGCTTAATAATTTCTTTTTTTTCATGGAACTGAAGTAATAACGGCTAAATTATTTTAGTGTAGATCATTTTAGTTACTCCATATCGAATATCTCCAAGAAACAATTGATTTATTTTTGTAACTAAAAATTTAACGAAGCTAATATGTGTTTTATTTTTCCCTATTGAATTAATTTTAGTCATTCAACCTTGAATTTCTCCAAAAATCAGTTCCTATACTTTTGCTACCAAAAGCTTAGCGAATGTAGTTTGGGCTTTTTCTTTAATGATCTAAAGTAATAATCGCTAAATTATTCTTTCAGTGCAGATTATTTTAGTCACTCAACTTTGAACACCACCGAAGATCATTTTATTAACTTTGTAACCAAAAGCTTATTGTTTCTTTTATCACTATTACTACTAAGCTAAAATAAATAACCACTAAAGTATGTTTTTAATACATATTATATTAATAAATCAATCTCAAATGTTTACCTTTTTTGAAAGCACGATTTTATGTATAGAAGAATCGTTACATAAAAATCACCATCCTAACATCTTTACATTTTTACGCGCTATTGGAATTATAAGTTGTATATAATTGTTTTATACTAGTTACCGTTTTAGTAAATTTACCATGAAGTTTTATTGATTTTAATGTATGTAACTTTACAACATTGTTTTAGAATTTTCACTATCTTATCAGATTTTATACATGTGCTTTTCTTAATCCTTTAATCTGTTTTTAAAACCGTGTGTTTGGCGCAGTATGTCCTTTTTTGGACCTTGTGCCACTAAACCCCACATTCAATTCAATTTTGAATGTCTGGATTAAAGATTTCTTTTCCCTCCAATAAGTCCGATAATATTTTTATTTATTTTAGAAACTAAAATCTTCAACTCTTATGTTTCATGATTGAGCTGAAGTTATAATCTCTTAAATTTTTATTTTTTTTTACAGTTGCCTAAATAGTCCAGACGTTATTTTAGTGTACGACGGATCCAACAAAAGTGCGCCCATCATCGGGCACTTATGCAACACAAATACTTTTGTGGAACTCGTCTCAACTGGAAGTGATTTGTTCATAGAATTTCACAGCAGAAGTCATTTTCCTGGACAAGGTTTTAAAGCATCCTACTTGTTTGACAGTGGACCTCCTCCTCCCCGCATCAACGACATCGACGTGCCTTACATGGGTAAGTCATATTGAATTACTTTTCTAAGCACCTTCATTCAGGCGTTTTCGTAAATATTTCAGGCAGGTTGGTCTTATAAAACCGGCTCGGAAAACTCGAAGGAAGTACATGGTTAGAGGCTTGCACTAATTTTAAAATATAATATTTTCATTCAAATTCGAACTATGTGCATAGTTTTTATACATTTTCTGGAGCACTAATATTTGAGTAACTTTAATTCTAGAGTTGTTTGTTTATATTAATTACATTTGATTTTAAAATTAATTAAGTAAATAATGAATGTTAGAAAACTGCATGTGTGGGATGATGAAAAATAATGATAAAATAATAATATTACAGATGATAAGAATTTTCGAAGTTATACTTTGAGATGTTTAGAGAAATGTTACGCGCTCGTTGCTTAGCTAACCATGAAAGAAAACATGGTAACAAAAGTAAAAAACACGAAGGAAATTTTCTTTCTTCTATACAGATGTCTAAAAATTGAAGAAATTGGATAAAAATTATTCTTTTTGAGCAGCATATTTGACAACATATTTCTTGAATACAACAGAGTGCTTCCTTTTTAGAGAAAACTTAAAATTTATCCCTTTTCCGAGAACAACGCCAGTAATGTTGTTTCTAATAACACTTGAACAAACCAAGCTCACAAGCTATTAATTTTTTGCAAATTAGGTCAGGAAGGTGCGCCTTTCGTTTGACAAGAGAGCACCGCAAAGGTGAAAGTACGTTTTAGCTCAGAACCATACGAATTGATGGCAGCAACACTCATTCCGCTTATTCAATTTAGATATAGATCTGAATGGGAAGGAAGTTTTCTCATGATTCCTGTACATGGTACTACTTCGTGACCGAGCTCATGACTTTAGATTCCATATTTTATGAGCATGCATGTACTTGGTGGGTTTTAGTAGATTCGAGATTCCCTAACTACTGGGCTGCTACGGCCCATGCAATTGATATTACTCTTATATGATCTCATATTGAACTTGCATATTGCAAGCGGCAAATGCAATTATGCATCAGGGATAGTTTACATTGAGATGAACTTGAATCATTATTTTAGTACAGAATTGCAAATAAAAAAACATTGCAATATGCATTTGTAACATCAATTTGCACTATAAGGAAAAGTACTTTTTTCCATGCTGGTGCAACGAAAGCTCACACTGTCCGAGATGACTTATGAGTCTAAGAAAAGCTGCTTTAAAACCGGGGAAAAACGAAAATGATTCCTTAAATTCATCACACACAAATGCCATGCTATGAAATAATAGTAATAATTTCTAAAGCTGATATCTAAAAGTCCATGTTGCATTGTTAGCTATCAAACTAGTTTAACTGCTGAAGAGGCAAATCAAAGCGTTAATAACAATGACAAAACACAAAACAATGGCATGCGGTTGCAAATGTTTGTTATTCTGAAATATTTATCTAAACCATAAAAATAATATCTCTTTTGAACAATAAATCAAATCTTTAATAACAATAACATACAACAAAACAGCAAATTTAGTATTCGTAATTACACGGAGATCTTCGGAAGATATTCGTAATTCTAAAAACTTACAATAGGTCTGCTGAAAATAAGTTTTAACTTTTGCTCATACTAGAATGTGTCCAAGGTCAATTTTAACCCAAATCTATTTTACATTATTACGATTGAAAATCTCTGTTAGAATAAAAATGTTCAATGTTAATAACCATAACATACAACAAACCAACAACTTACAACTAAGTTATTCGAAATTCTGGAAACTTACAATTGAACATCTGATGAATTCTAACTTTTGCTGATGAGAGAATAAGGCTAATATCAATTTCAACCCAAATCCATATTACAATGTTGCCACTAAAAATCTCTGTTAGAATGAAAATTTTCAATTTGAATAAAATTATAGGAAAATAAAGCAATAGCTTACAAATGTAAAAGTTTGTTATTCTAAAAAATTTTACTAGGACTCCCGATAATAAGTTTTGACTTTTGCTGATAAGATATTAAGTGCAACGTCAGTTTTAATTCAGATCTATTTTACATTGTTACCCTCTGAAAATGTCTGTTAGAATAAAAATGTTCTATGTTATAAAATTAACAAAAAATAGAGAGATAGTTTACAAAGGTAAAATCCTCGGATTCCTGATAATAAGTTTTGACTTTTGCTGATAAACACTTAATATAAATGCAATATCAATTTTAATTCAGATCCATTTTAGATTGTTACCTTTTAAAAATCTCTGTTAGAATAAAAATGCTCAATGTTATTAAAATTAACAAAAAATAAAGAGATAGTTTACAAAGCTAAAAACCTCGGACTCCTGATAATAAATTTTGATTTTTGCTGATAAGAGAATAAGTCCAACTTCATTTTTAATCCTAACGTATATTGCATGTTACCCTTGAAAATGTCAGTAAAATTGAAAATGTTCAATTTTAATAAAATTAATGGAAAATAAATCAACACCTAACAAAGATAAATGTTTGTTATTCTAAAAACTTATACTTGAACTCCTGATAATAAGTTTTGACTTTTGCTGAATAAGTCCGATGTTCCTTTTAATCTAGACATTTATTGGAAAGTATTACTTTCGGATGAAATGGCAATACTTTCTAATATTGATTAATCTTTGAAAGACCAGAAATACTGTTGAACCCCAAATACAAACATACCAGAAAGCCGAAAATTCCAGAATAAACACCGCAAAGATCTGTGGAGATATTAAAACGGAAATATGGAAATTTGAGTTCGAGGTTCCAGAGAGCTGTGAAAAGCCTGGAATCGGTAAACAAAAGAAGCTGACTTTTCAATCAGCTTTTACTATACCGGAGAAATGCATTGCGGGAAAAAGTAATGAATCCTTTTTTTTTCCTCCAATGTTTCAGTATATAAATATTTCATTACGAAATTCAACGAATAAAACTATTTCGTAGAGCTTGGCGGAATGGAAAATTTTGAATAATATAATGTTATTAAGGTTTTCTCTAGTTTATTGGCTATATTTTGCATTTTAGAATGATGAATAGAATATTAAACATGCGTGAAATTTGCTCGATAAAATAACAAAACCATTCTTTTTATGGACAAATCGAAGATCGGAGTTTTATTTCGATCGTCTGTATTTGACAGGGTATTGGAATAAAACACATTCAATTCTAGTAAACAGAATTTTTCAGAACTGTATTTCTAACTTAAAAAATTTTAATGAAATATTTAACTTTTTTAAGTTTGAATAATTTTGTTTTAGTATATAATTTTTTTTACACAAGATATGATGGATGCTGCTAAAATTTTAATGTGAAATTTGCTAATTTTTTTTTAAAGAAAGCAAATAAACGTGGAGTATATTCATTTATGTAACTTTAAAAGTAGTGTAAATGCAAATTACGTATTTTTACGCAGCATACTTTGTAAATATCATTTTAAATACATGCACTTAAAACGGAATTTTCAACTTAACTAAAGTAATTAAATATTATTTATGTACTATTGTTACATCAGCACGCATACCCCAACCATGGCCAAGCAACTAAGGTAAGTACTTTAACCCCTTCCTTCTCGCTACCGTGAAAATGACGGGGTGAGGTTTCACCGTCTATTTCTGGCTCCTGTGATATTCCCGGGCTGGAGTGTTCAGTTGTAACGCGCTGATAAGAATAAAACTAATTCATTTCTTTTGCCCGGAAAACATTTTATTTCTCATTTTACACACCAGATAGCAGTACCGGGATATTTTTAAGGTAATTGTAGATAGTTTATTTTAAACTAGATGTCAGCACTATTCAAATACGTGTATAAAAAAAATAGGCACTTTTATGACCGTTTTCTTGAAAATTAACCGATCGTTAAGGGGTTAAGGTAAGGGAGTAAGTGACCTATGTAAGAAAGCGAGGTAGGTAAGCACTTGTATGGTTGAACTTGGTAGCATTAATTTTTGCGTATGAGATTAGGGGACTCAGGGGATAGAGTGCTAAGACACAGGTTCAAATCCTTCTGTATTCTGCTCTTTACGAATTCTACTCACGGATCGCACCAACCACGGTGCTGCTGACATAAAATATCCTCAATGGTTAGCAAATCATAGGTGAGAATCCTCTTGCCGTCGGGATAACCATGTCAGGTTTTTGTGATTTTCTTCTCAATGTAACACAAATACGCGTTAATCCTCCACGAAGGCTAGAATTGTCTCAATGCTCTCTTGACTTTTGGATTGGGCTCAAAATTACAAGGCTACGGAGTTAAACATCGAGAGTCGTAAACTCAGAATTGAGTCCGTCGTCTGTTCAATGCCGGTTACAAAATAAAATGAAAAATTTCTGTTTATATAATTGAGAACGTTCAAGAATTATCTGCAGTTATTAGCTGCAGTTATTAGCTATTTGTTTTGAATCGGGATCACTTAGGAAAATCTCGGAGACTATGAGCATAATTCAACAAACAATTCGAAAAAAAATCAAAATGCTAATGTTTTATTAAACTATTTATTAATAATGTTGACTAGAATTGTTTGTAAAGCGTTTTCATATTTTTCTATGTCATGCCTTAATTTGATGCAACAGTTGCATTAAAATCAAGAAAGCTATTTTACACACTCGGTCCATCCTGAGTTGTTGGGATGGCACTGATGGGTAGAATAGACTGTTATTAAAAATAATTGCAATAAAATCATTAACAATAAGTGTTGATTAAATTATATTATTTTTTGGTTTCTATAAACAAATTATGCAGCATTTGGAAGAAGTGTTTTACTACAATGGCTAAAGAATCAGAAAAACGAAGGAATTTTAATTAAAAAAAATTAAAAAAACAGAAAAAGGAAATGGATTGGTGATCCTTTAACAGGGTGTTTTTATCAACTTATTTTGGCTACTTTAAACACAGCATATTCTCCCTCAGCATAGGCTATATTATTCTCAATCTCTCCTAAGGTACAGGCCCCAAAACTTTTCTTAAGGAAAAATTGCGTTGTACTTTGTTTAAAAAGAACAGATTTCACTAACTATTGGTGTACAGAGCACAGAGAAAAACTAACCTTTCTGAAAAACTTTTGATTTAGCGATCAGATTATCACGTACTAGGACTCAATCTTAATGATTTGAGAAGGTGGACATATATATGATTATTAACTAGAGCAGACAATATTTTAAGTTGCGAAGTCAGACACATAAACGCACTTCCTCTGAACAAACATACCTTTTCTTCAATGAATTTGTGATTCTGACCCTTAGAATATAGGGGGAGCAGCACTATGTGAAATATATTCCCTTTTTTTGTACCATATTTAAGCATATTTTTCTTAATATCGCATGTGAACAGCTTAGCATAGAGAGATGAAAAATATCATAAATTGATCCAAAAAAATATGAGCGATATGTGCTTATAAACGAAGCCCTTCAAAACATATTTAAAAACTTGAAATGAGGTGTAACAATGGAATGTCGTGTTACGGTCGAACTACTCAACACTTAAAAGCGACAATTTTTACAAACCGTCCCATAAAAATTTGCTAATTTTAGAAGAAAAAATATGATCCAATTCGGAGCTCGCGTTCTCGAATTATTAACGAACATACATACAGAATTTCGCTGTTATATATATAGAAAGATTATTAATTCCATAATACAATCTCATCTCCTTAATACTCTTACTAAGCCACAAAAATACCATTTTTCTCTCGTCTTGCAATATTTAAATGTGTTAAACTATGCGTTTATTATTAAACTTAATACCGAAAAAACTACTTGCAATAGCTACCGCAAAAGGAGAAATTTAGCATAACATTTAAAAATATACTGTTATTTGTCAAACAATTTTCTTAAAATTTCCAACTCCATTTCTTTTTTAACAATAGATTTACTGCTATCAACTTCTGATTATATTTCGTATTATTAATCATAAATACCTGACGTCAATAAAATGACAAATACTTACGCATCCCTGGAGTAAGTTTTTAACTGAATAGAAAATTTTGATAAAATATTTATTCAACAATTTACCATCTGAAATAATTAAAAAAATATGTTTTTCAGCTGACTTACAAATATTTAAACAATTTTTTGTCCAAATTCGTTAAATGAAATAGTAAATATTGATTCTTAACGCAAATAGAAACTTTTCCGAAATATTTATAATTAAATACACTTTCATATTAATGAAAATAAATTAATACTCCATTAATGTTTAAAAAATAATGTATTCTTAGTAAATTAAAAAAAATATCAAAATTATTTTTCATGAATTAAGAAAGACTGGGAAACAAAATTGAATTAACCATAATTTATTTTCAGTAATATTTTTTGATTACCGCAGAATTTATAAACGTAAAATAATATAATTGATAATTTTATTAAACTTAATGCTTTATCAGACGATAAATTCATTTATTGTTTCAAACTTTTATACGGGAAAATGAGAAAATTGTTTAAAGAAAAATTTTATTCAGTGGAAGTGTTTGTCTGTCATTATTTCATTAAGAATTGTTTTCTTATTTTTCTTTCATGTACCTTATGTCGTTTGCTCTTAACTAAGATTTTTTTTCATCGTCTAACTAAATTATTACAGTGACAAAGGGTTTGGAAGATGTGGTTTTCTTTTTAGTCTTTTGAATTAATTCTTATTTAATGTTTTATCTTGGAAAGAATATTCAACTTTATGAAAGAAGTAAAATTTTTATTTATAATGTTTAGTTTCCCTTAGTTAATTTAATTATTGTCAAGCGTAATTAAAATTTCTTCGTAAAACAAACTGGTAAGGAAATATGTGGATATTTTCATACGTTAAAAGTAATTAAAATGTAAATAATGAAATGAATTTTAATAATTAACAATTTCTCTTAAAAGTGATATGTTTTAATTAGCATTTTCAATTTTAGGAAATTTGTCATGATAATTATCTGTAAATACTTTTTTTCTTTCACTATGCTAATTCTAAATCGTTCATTTTGCACAACAATTCAAGAAAATAGCTAGAATAATTTAAAAGATAATGACATTATCTTTAATGAAAATGCTAACAAGTTGGCAACACTAACGAGTAATGGTGAACTTCAGAATATTTTAAAACAAACCTGTTTTGAAAATCTACGATCCATATAAACAAAATTAGCTATTTCCGTAAGAAATTAAAAATACTATATTGTTGTAAGTTACTTTAAGTAACAATATATTCAAATTTAAAAATTCATTTTATTTATTAGAATAATAGCAAAACTGTTTTGATAATATTAAGTATTTCTAAAATTGCTTAAATTAAAAAAATAAATGAAAGTCAATTATCGTTATTATTTTCTAATGTACGCTAACTGCTTTCACAACAACTTTTCAGCGATTATCTACCTCCAAGGCATTTAATTGTTTTAACAGTCGGCAACTATCTTATTTATGGTGTAACTCATGAGCAATTAATATTACCTAAAAACTTTTGAATAAACTTCATAACATATAGACGAGTGATTTAATTCTTACGTGTTCATTGTACAAAGAATAAACCGAACTGAGGTTTCGGAAATTTGAATGTCCTATTTTAATTTTCAATTTTTGAAAACTATTTGAATGATTCCACTCAAATTTAGATTTCGTGTACCTCACAATACAACATTTGCTTAAAACATTATTACACTAAATAGTAATAAATAATAAAGGTTTTTCTCTTTAAGTAATTTTTTTATGATTTATTTAAATAGTTCCAAAAATGCAGTGAAATACAAAGAAAAAAATATCATTAAAATTCACAAATTTTGGACAGTTTTCTTTTTCTTTTTTTGCTTTGAAATACTCAGGAATACTCTTGAAATACTTTTTTTGCTTTGAAATACTAAGTTTTCTTATAATTGTGTGCAAAATTGTTATGGTTTGCTTAAATAGTTCCAAAATTATAGCAAAATACAGAAAAAATAAACTTAACAATAAAGGGCAAAAATTTTCCACGGTTTTCTGCTTATTTTTTTGCATTGAAATATCTTGGAAATTCTTCTTTTATAATAATTTTGTGCAAAATTGTTATAGTTAATATAAATACTCCAAAAAAAGTAGCGAAATATTGGAAAACAATTAAATTAATTTATAATTATAAAATAAATATAATTATACGCATATATTTATTTATGAAATATATATAATTATTAGTTATATAATAACAATAAAATTAACCCTGAATCCTACGGAGCCAGCAGAATGAAAAAGCAGCACTTTACCAGCATATACCCAGAATATACGTTTTAAAGAGTACGTATTAGTACTAATACGTGATAAGATATGAGAGTTCTGTATTGAGGTCACGTCAGTGAAATCTTGAGGCCATCTTGAATTTACTTTTACTGGATAAAAAATCTGATATATCGTAATTTCTACAGTAAATATTTACTGTAAAATAACGGAATCACTGTAAAAAAATATTACTGTAAAAATCTCGATATAAAATCTTACGGTAAAACAGGACTTCACGGTAAAATTAGTTTTACTGATACTTCACTCGAAGGTACAAGAACTTTTTACCGTAATTTGATCCAGAAATTTTTACAGCGTATGTGCAATTACGACTCTGGACGAGTTAAAGGGCTCAAACTTTTGACGGTTTTCCAAGTAAACTATACGGGCAACATTTATATTAAGAATCAAAAACTGAAACTCTTCCAAATAAGTTACATTTACCATAAAAAGTGCATTTTTATTTATAACTTCGTTACTTTAATTTAGATATACACTACATGCACACTATACATTATGTGGTGTGAACCTAATTAAATTAAAATTTTTCACTCCAGGTAATTAAATTTTAAAATATGATCATAAAATTAAAAGTTATTTAGAATGTAAAGTTTGTTTTTCCTTTACTACACACTATTTAAACATTTTCACAATTTAGCACACATTTTTCAGAATCGCATTATAAATGTAAATGCAAATGCGCACGAAACAAAATGACGTGTCTTTCCCGTGCACTTGAATCTTCAAAACTCTATTTTAATTCAATAATTTTTTTTTAGATTTCAAAAGTAAAAGTATATAGTTAATACCATGCTAATTTTCTGACATTTTAAATAAATTTGATATTTTTTAAATTTTTTTTCAGAGTCAATCCGTAGAACTACAGACTACCTCACCACAACATCAGAACCAGGTAAGTAATAAAACGTTTCAAACAATTCCACTTTTTTTCATAAAATTATTTTTATGATGAAATATCAATGTGTAAGAAAATAACATTTACGAACAATAAATCGAAAACGTAAAATATTTACGAACGTATTATTTAAACACATTTCCTTTGCTAAAATAACACAAGCACGTTTAACTAATCCAGACAATCTATGCATTTTCTCAAAAGAATATCGATTTGTTATTGTAATCAAACATGGTAAAAAACCATTAGTAAGAAGAATAAATCGATGAGTGTTTGATGGCAGGTCAAACTGTATTATTTTTAAAAAATACGAACTTTATTATAACATCCAGCTCTTTCTTTTCACTTGTCTTAAAGTGCAATATTTTAATAAATAATGTAAATGTCATTAAGAAAAAAGTAAGTTTTTGAACATTAAATCAAAAACGTGAAATATTTACGAACGTGTTCTTTAAGCGTTGATTAAACAACACAAACATTTTTAACTAATCCAGACGATGAACACATTTTCTCAAAGGAATATCGATTTGTTCTTGAATTCAAACATGAAATAAATCCAAAGTAAAGAAGAAAAAAATATCAATTCGAGTTTTGAATGGCAGTTCAAGCTGCATTTTTTTCCAAAAATACATCAAACTTTATTATAACATCCAGTTCTTTCGTTTCACTTGTCTTAAAATGCAGGATTCAAATATAATTTTAAAAGAAACGTTTTAGCGGTGTACAGTGTGTATCCATTGTAGCAAAACCTCGAGCTCAATAGAAAAATAAAATGGCTGGTGATTTCACGTGAAGAATTATTTTTCTTGCAATCAGACTTGGCTTTTATTAGAATGAAGCCATGCGACAAATCGAATTCCTTGGAGGGCGTCTTTTCTAAAAATAAAGGGATAGAATTCTTTTTATTTTAAATTTTTGAAAAATACTTCCTTAAACCACATTCATTTATTGGTAAAGTTTTTTTGGGGGTGGTTATTAATCTTTCACGTCATTCCAAGAAAGTAAATAAAAATAATAATTCTTAGAGTTTTCGAACAAAAGCTTATGGAATTGTGTGAATTCTGGGAAACACGGTAAAAATAAATATTAGATTTCTTCTTTTTTATTTAAAGAAATTTTAGATACTTGAAGTATAAAACTGCAGAGCAGCATGCTGAAACAATATACTAAATAATATTTCAGAAAATTTGATAAAAACCAAGTAATGAATCTATAGAAAGATCATTGTTAATCTGTTTATAAAAGAATTAGTTTTGCTAAAAGCCACTTTTAATAGAAGAAAATGCAAAATGCTTCATGGAATCCATTAAACAGTTTTAAAATCCATTGAAGAATAATCAGAAAGCTAATTACAAAATAATTTTTTTCATTGAAATTAGTCCTTGGTGGATGTAAATGTTAAAAGTGATGTTTTTGTGAGTTTTCTAATCAGTTTTCGAGTCCATTGTAGGAATTAAAGAAAACTATTTCTTAGTTCCTTGAAAATTTAATTAAATTAAACAAAAAAACATAAATTAAACTTGTACATTTCTACAAAAATACACTAAAAAATATCATTTACTGAGACTGTAGCTAAGTGAGAGAATTCGATCGCGGATTTGAAATCAGCGACACAAAAATATCTAAGATCTGTTTAAAAAAATGTCTTGTAAAAAATGCTCCCCTGTGTAATCAGGAAGCTAATTACAAAATAATTTAATTTGTTTTATTGAAACCAGTCTCTAGTGAAGAAAGTGCTGAGAGACGTTGAGTTTGCGAACCAATTTTAGAATTCATTATAGTAGTACAAGCTAATTACAAAACAATTTGTTTTATCGAAAGCAACCATTGGTAAACATTCCAAGTGATATTCTATGAGATTCGATTATCAATTATATAATCCATTGAAGGACCATATGAAAGCTAAATAATTCAAAGTAATTATTTTGTTGAAATTAGTCTCAGGTGAAGATAAATGCAAAGAAATATTTTTAAGATTTTGTAAGTCAGTTTTGGAATTCAATGTAGAATTGAGGGAAAGCTGATTGCAAAATAAATAGTTTTATTGAAAACAACTAGACATAGCTATAATAAAGGTATTCTTTAGATATTTATCATTTGCATCGTTATCACTTTCACAGGAATTGTAATTAATCATCGTATTAATAGGTGCTCATGATAATTATTTCAGTATAAGTTATCATTTATCTTATTCATTGTTATCCTTTATGGCTACCATCGTTATCAATTATCATATTCATCATCATAATTTATCATATACATGGTCATAATTTATCCTATTCATCCTCATCATTTAGAGAATACATCACTGAATTTTCATGGTTATTTCCTTGTATTCGGTGTTATAATTTATGCTTTGAGCTATTATCATTTATCAGTTGAATTATTATTTTTTTTCAGCAATTATCATCTGACGTGAACTTAGGTGCATCAATGTAAATTGATTTTTTTCATTCTTTGAAATCGTATAATTAATTTTATAGCTTTTTTTCAGCACATAGTGCCAAAGTTGTTTTATGATACTTAAAATAAAGCAGCCGTTACATAGTAAAATCAATACTCATATCAGTTCGAAACTATTATAACTTTTGAAATATGTATTAAATATAGCATAACTAGGTTTATAAAAAGTTTTATTATGAAAAAAAAATAGCAAAAGTCATGAATAACAATAAAATATGCATTACTTTATGCTTGAAAACAACCCAATTTTAACAATAGAATAAAATTTCCTGTAACCCTATTTATGTTAAGACCTTACAACTACTTTTTTTCCAGCACCCAAACTCCATATAAACTAGATTGTTAAAAATAAGTTTTGAGAAACCTAGCTAATAATCAACATATATCGGTAAAATAAAACTCTTCAATATGACTTGGAAATCCGTGAATATTTATGCTCTACAGGCAGCTATATTCCTTTTCCGATATTCAACCAATAAGAAAAGGTGAAGTTTCAGGTTTTATTTTGAATCCAATGGTAATGTCTCAGCATAAAACATACCATTGTGACTTATCGATACCTCTTTGCTTAACGTCTTGCACTACTCAAAGCATCCAAAATGAGAAATCCTGAGCAATGGCATAACACTGGATTGAAATTCGATAAGAAGACCACCATAGAGTGACTTTGCTTTTACACCCCACCATCAGAGGGAGCTCAAGCATAAAATTGGATTTTTTCCCTACTTTTTTCCCTATTTTTTTTCTTCTTCCTAAGTGAGTTTAAGCAAAGAAGATCCTTGGCGAGATTTTTTAGTTGGCTGGAATTTCATTCTTTCCATAAGCTGAGGCAGTCAACCTGACGGCTTATTAGTTTGGAGACTCTGTCTAGACGTATATCCTTTTATGCCAAGTCCCCGGATTTAAAAATTTTCCAGACTACCGGCATTTTTACTTCTCAAACTTTTCCCAGTTTGCACTTCTAATTCAATTTCTCTGCGAGATTAAACTGTTTTGATAACTCTACACAGTGAAGATTTTAATTAGAGTAAATAGAGTCGCATCATATAATTGAATTATTGTTTAAGCAGAAAAATGAAGTGTTCTTTTTTTTAATTTCAATATTAGCATTCATAATTCTTCTAAAACAAAATATGAGTATTTAACATTATCTGAAACTCCAACAAAACTTAAGGGTTATAAAATGCAGAAATTAAAGAAATGATTGATTTGGTGGTCGTTTATTTTTCTTAACTTGAAATAATAATTGTGAATAGTTAATTGTTGTCTGAAGCACTTATCACCAATAATGAGAAAAGAAATTTTAAATGTTGTAATCGAGCAATTATTTGCTCAAGTTTCATTAGTAATTGTTATTATTTATTTGCTTTTGTTGGCATGATAAAATCATTTATTAAATCTTATCTTAAATTAAGAGTACTTAAAAATTTTAAATTGAAAAAAAAATGTCAAATTTTATTCAGAGAATATGAAGTTTACAATCATTAAATTTTCAACCGCTTACAGATTTTAATTAGAATAAATAGTCTTGTATAATATAAAATAAGATAATTTCAGCAGTAAATTATTAAATTTTTATTAAAAGTTCATATTATATTTTTTTCTATAATAAATCCTACTAACAGTAATTTTTTAAATTTTAAAACCGTAGTAGTAATTAATATTCATAAAAAATAGTGAAATCTCATGAAAAGACGATCGATTTCCCTGTCACAGTAATTACCACTTTAAGAAATTCTGAGACATTATCGGATTAAATTTATTCGGAATAATAATCAAACAATTAATTGCTGTCTAAATTTTTTGTATCATTTCTAAAATGATAAATTGTAATTGTCGTTATTATATACTGTTAATAAGTTAATACTTTAAATAAACTTAAAACGATGAAACAACTTTCAAACCTCATATTTATTAATATGAAAGTTTTTTTAAAAAAAAATTTATAAAAAAATGCTGCTTTCTAATTTGAAATTTCATGCAATATTTAAATTCTTGATAAGTAAATAAAAATAAAAGAAGTAAAAAATATTTACTGCGTTATTACAGATTCGAACATTAATTATGTAGTTCTTTGCTTCTTTATCTATGAATTGTTGTATATCTGTGGTATAGTTTATTGTAGTTTATCTAAGAATCACGTTTTATCTGTGGTATAGAAGTCATCTAAGAATCGCAGTTTATCTGTGGTGTAGTTCCTTGCTGTTTTATCTATGAATTGCGGTATATCTGTGGTATACTGTGCTTATATGTGCTTATATGTGCTGTGTGGATATATGTATTTTTCATATAGTTCACTGTAGTTTATCTAAGAATCACGTTTTATCTGTGGTATAGAAGTCATCTAAGAATCGCAGTTTATCTGTGGTGTAGTTCTTTGCTGTTTTATCTATGAATTGCGGTATATCTGTGGTATACTGTGCTTATATGTGTTGTGTGGATATATGTGTTTTGCATATAGTTCACTGTAGTTTATCTAAGAATCACGTTTTATCTGTGGTATAGAAGTCATCTAAGAATCGCAGTTTATCTGTGGTGTAGTTCTTTGCTGCTTTATCTATGAATTGCAGTATATCTGTGGTATACTGTGCTTATATGTGTTGTGTGGATATATGTGCTTTGAATATAGTTTATTGTAGTTTAGCTAAGAATCACGTTTTATCTCTGGTATAGAAGTCATCTAAGAATCGCTGTTTATCCATGGTGTAGTTCTTTGCTGCCTTATCTATGAATTGCGGTATATCTGTGGTATACTGTGCTTATATGTGTTGTGTGGATATATGTGCTTTGAATATAGTTTATTGTA